GCCTTCAAAAAGGGACTTCTTTGTATGTGAAAATTTTTCAAAATTATTGATGAGTGGGGTACGGTATGATTGCATAAGCCACTCTGATTGGGCGGTAATTTGAGCAGGATTTATGATGGGTGGGATGGCAACCCTTTTATCATTTGGGTTGGCATCCCCTTCCCCATCTGCCAATGTGTGAAGAAATGTTGGGACTATTAGAGTCGCAACCGTGTGGCAGAGAAGTATATATGCCTTTATCAAGAATGTTAACAAATAACAAAAATATGCGGCTAATCCTATGGATGGTAAGCGGCATTGATTGTTAGACGGGCTGGAACATTGTACGGTCCAGGCTGAGAGAAATTTCTCTCTAACTAATAGAAAGAGTTTTAAAACTTCGGTAGTAAGCGGTCTATGTTCTGAGACCAGTTTTGAGACGAAGGGTGAAGCTTCCGCTTTCCCGAGTATAAGACTGATAGATTGGAGTGTATTGATGTTGAAAAGCCTTGAATTGTCAAATGACCTCGGGCTAGTCAATCGCTGATGACTTTTGCGCGAGGCCATATTTTGCTCTTGGTTGGGTGAGTTTATTGTGTTAAACTCAGCCTTTTCGTGATTAGTATTTTGGTTTGACTCGTAAATCCCTTCTTGGATAAGGGTAGATTGAGGTGGATGGATAACAATTGGATCCATGCACTTTGAGTCTTGAGTGTTGAGGGAGACAGGTCGGCCAACAGTGAGGGCAGCGTGTGGCTTTTGATTGGTTGGAGTAACCATATTGGAGGTTACTGTAGCCATCGTTGATGCCTGACTGGGAGGTGCTAGACACTTCGAGCCAGTTGGCTTATTCTTCCCTGAGGCAAGTATGTGAGAGAGGGCAGGCACCTCCGTTATTGATGAGAGAGTGGCTGAGACTGTAGTTGCCCTCTTGGATTCTAGGCCCTTGCGAACTGGGATCGAAGGGCGTAGATGCTCTAGAATGGATTGAGCTATATAGCTATTGTGTTCTGATAGCTCTAAGACTGGTTGAGAAGAGAAATCTTCAACGAGTCTTGAGGTTGAGGCAGGCGCGGTCTTTTTGGTTTTACGACAAGCGCCTGGCTCCTGGCCTTTATTCTGATTGGCCTTAGAAGAAAATGGTTGATTTGGTTGTTTGACCGCTTGAGGGGTCAATTGTTTGGTCGTAATTAAATGGTTGGCGGGACTCGATTCAAGAGTCGCGCTTGGTTGTGAATGATTTTCTTGGTTGTTGCTTGTCTTACCATGGATGCTCAAGGAGGCTTTCATGCATACGAGCAAGTGGTGGCTCCCTTGGCAGTGCATACATGGTATAAGAGAAGGGCATCCCAGAGCCACATGACCTTCCCTTAGGCAACGTAAGCAGCGGTTTTGCTCCTCTAGACGGCATTTGCGGTCTTGAGGTGTGGAATATTCCGGGCATTTCGAAGGTGAATGGCCGGGATTTCCACACAGCGAGCAACTGCGCGACCCTCTGGTCGGACAGTTGGTTTTCTGTATTTGATGTGAGTGTGCCCTGAAGGTATCAATTGGTTCATGATTTTCCTTGGGGGCTGCGTCACTCAGCTTTATTGGTGGTGTAGGCATTGATATATCTTGTGTGACCTGGTGTAATGTAGTGCATCGTTGAACCTCTTCTTGTATTTCAACGAGCTCGCGCAACTCTCCACGGAGTTGGGCGCAGTTCCAACGTAGTCCTGAACTACGTTCTTTTTCAATTAGCTTGCCGAGAATTGACTCGGGAAGTCTTGACTTGATAACTGTGGAGATAAATGGGGACGTATCAACGTGCCCAAAAGCTTCGAGTTGACGACAGATTGTTTCTATTGTATCCACGAATGTTCGGAGAGACTTAGGGCTCTCATTGGTTTGTTGTAGATTCATCAGCTCGGCTTCTAAAGCCTCGGTGATGGCACGAGTATCTCCATACCGTGACTGAAGCAGATCGAGAACTTGATCGTAGTTCTCGTTGGATAGGATAAAGCCTGCGACTAAGTCTTTTGCAGGTCCTTTTAGGAAGGTGAGCAGATAGCTCATCTTGCTAATCTTGCTCAGTGAACTTTGATGGATGTTGGCAGAGAATAATTGCCAAAAGGTTGGCCACTTCTTTGGATCACCGCTGAAGGGGTCCAAACGAAGTTCGGGCAACCGAATGTATGATTGCTGATTGATCTGTTGAATGATTTGTTGATTGAGTTGTTGATTTATTTGTTGATGTGCGGGAACATATTTGTGCTGTTCCGGCTTTTGGTTTGACAAGGTCTGATCAGAACATGGGGTCTGATCACTGCTCGAGGCAATAGTAGATGGCTCGAGGAGAGTGTTGATTTGGTTGAGTGCCCTTCGGGCTTGCTCAGCAATTTCCATAAAATGTTTTGGTCTGGGTTGTTGTCCTTCCTCGGGTGGTAATGGAGGGAATTCTCGGTAAATTCGCTCCTCGATCGCAAGGGCTTGTCCCTCGAGACGATCAATGAGACTAGTCCATTTCTCGTTGAGTGCGTTTACCCGATCCAGGGTACGACTGAGATGGTGGGACATAGCTCTTAGTTGTGCAATGTCTCGACCGGAGCCGGCTCTCAACAAAGCATTGGCTGCGGCGAGATGTTGCTTGAGGACCTTTATGGCCGGTCCTAATTGACTGGTGATTGGTTTGGAGGAAGGCATTTTGATAAGCTATGGGATCAAAATGGCTTTTTGTAGACCAAATACGGAAAAGTAAAACCGCTTGTAAGTTTAACAAGGAGTTTATTAAATTGAAGTGGATGTTTTCTGTTGATGATTGATTGGTGAAAAGAGACTGATACGGTAAGGCAGTGTCTATAGAAGGAAAAAATGCGATGTCCCCTCAGGGAAATGTAATCGCTTTTTTAAATGTAGTTTGGCCGGCTTGGGCCGAAAAGAATGAGTTATTGAACTTGTACTGCGCTTTGATCTTTCCAAAGGGCAGGACGAAAGAAGGAAAAGCGATGTTCCAAAAGGAATGTGCAATCGCTTTTTGTAAAAAATGCTTTTGGCCGGCTTGGGCCGAAAAGATGAGTTAATGAACGTTCTCTGCGCTTTGGTCGTTCCAAAGGGCAGGAAGAGAGAAGAAAAGAAGTTGGCCCTAAAACTTGCGCAATCGCTTTGTTTAGGGCTGGCTGGCTAGGAAAAAGTTGATGTGTTGATTGGAATGTGCAGTCAAAGGCAAAGTTGACTGCAGATGTTGTTATTGCCACTTAGGGGGCAAAACTAGTGACTGCCAGGCACGGGCAGAAAACACTAATGAATGTGTATATGGGCAACAAAAAGTTGGCCAAAGTACACTGAAGGCAAGTAAAAAAGTTGGCTATTGAAAATGTGTTTGGTGGGTGAACGGTTAAAAAAGAGTGATGGCCCAACTAGGGGCAGAAGATCACCTTAATGTGATTGAAATAGGTTTGGCAGGCTATAGGCCAAAGAAAAGTGACGGCCCGGCGCGGGGCGGCAAATCACTTGAAATGTGTGTTAAGGCCCTGCTCGGGGCGGTGGTGTAAGCGCAAACGCTTTGATGAAAGTGTAAAATTGATGGCTCGGCACTCGGGCGAGGTATCACAACCAAAAATGGCGCGGCCAAGGTAAGGCGGCGAAATGTAAGGCGCGGCCTCAAAAGGCGGCGAAAGGTATGGCGCGGCCTCAAAAGGCGGCTGAATGTATGGCGATGTCCCAAACGGGAAGTGCAATCGCCTAGTTTCGTGTCCTTGTTTATCGCCTTTAAGATAAACAATTGCGGCCAAAGGTAGGCGGCAGACACTAATGAAGGTTTCGTGCCCTCGTTTGTCGCCTTTAAGACAAACAATTGCGGCCAAGTAAGGCGGCAGGCACTGATGAGGTGGTTGTGATAGCCCGGCGCGGATCACCTGATTAAAGCCGAAGTGATGACCCGGAACGGGCGGCAATCACTCGATTGATAGTTGATGGGAAGAGGGCAACAAATAGGTTGGCCTCTTCTGGTTAGAACGGGTGCAGTGCGATTGGACTGCGGGACCCGTACGGGGCTCCAAGTTTAATGTGCGGAAAATGTAGTGCACAATTCCTCGTTAGTTCTGTAGAGGAGGGACAGGAATAACTCGGGCTCGCACGCGAGTATTCCTTATATGAAAGGGTCGACGGAGATATTTAATCTCCAGAAACAAATCCACCAAACACAAACAATTAAAATATTTATTTAATATAAATAATATAAATAAGGGTGATTAATAGAGAAAATAAATAGGTGATCAAGTGGGTTGGTGATCAAATGGAATGGTCGGGGATGACTGCCAACTAGTCAGGCCCAGAAAAAACTATTTGTGCGCGAGCGGGCACAAATAGATCAAAGAGAAGAGAGCTTGGCCAAACGTGGGCAAGCACAGCTTCTAGCCAGCCGAAGAGAAAAGACTTGGCCGATATAGGCAAGTCAGAAGAAGAGAAGAGGAGCTGGTAAGCTAGTGCTTAGCAGGTCCTAGATAGGAATGAAGTTCAAAAACTGCTAGTTCAAAAACTGGGTAGTTCAATAACTGATAGTTCAAAAACTTTTGTGTAGTTCAAAAACTGACTTTTCTCATAAAAGTCAAATGGTTATATAGGGAAAGAAGTTTGGCGGTACAAAGCTAAAAAGTGTGAAAATGATGATAAATGAACAAAGTGGGCGGGTAGGCAATCAATATGGAAAATAAATAAAATTAAATAAAATTAATTAAAATAATAATTTTGAGGCAAAATTGTGCCTTTCGGCACATTCCCCTCTCGAGAGAAAAGAAGAGGGAAGAGAAACAGAGGGCACAAAATAATCACAAAATTTCTTATTGATCATCGGCTCTTCAGTTTATTCTTCTTCCTCAGTTGATTGCCATTGTTGAGTTCCGCGTTCATTTGCATCGAACATGGTTGAGCTCCAATTGTCATGTAGATAGAGGGTGCTCCAAGAACCAGAACGAACGTATACGTGATTAAAGAGGCGGCACCAGCCTTTTGGGTGGTGGCGTTCCAGGATGAGGAACAGATTATGGCGCGCCTAATTGGATTGATCGATGGCACAAATGCCATGGATTTATTTCACTCAACTTCAAAAGCAGGCAAGGAGGGACTGAAACGCTCCTTGGCTGATTATCTTGAATATGGGTCTCGGGTGGAATGCCATTCAAATTTCTAACTATCTCGCTTTCAACACCACAACTTGCCTTAGGTAGAAATTGATTGAAGGCTGATTGTTGAATTGCTAGGTGTGTTGGTAACGATGGTTCTGTAGTTGAAGTACCTTGATGATTGGCTATTTTGCTGATTGTTGGCATTCCAAGACTTGTTGATGATGAATTGCCTGCGGCAATTTGAATTTGAATGATCCAATCGGATCGTTGTCTGAAGTGTTGACCCTTCGGGTCTTTGATGATTGCATTGATGACCGGTATTAGACCGGGAATAAATAAATGAATTTCTTGCTGGTTGTATTTATCTTTATTGATGCTTGATGATTCTTTTGTTGATATGGATTTCATGTAGTACAACTTTTGTTGGCTTGTTGTTGTAAGGCAAGAAATGGATTGAAAACATAAAAGGTTCGAGGTAAGAGTGGGAATTTCGAGAGCCACATGGAAAGTGGTTATTATTGATTTGTTAAGGCGCGGTATGCGGGGGATTAGTATCCGCCGAAATTCCTCATGCTTGTTCACTCTTAATCCTCCTTGAGTCAGGAAAGGCCGAGCCTTTAGTGGCTGGGTGCTTGGAGAACGATCTAGCGGAATGAAGATCGTATTGCGCCCTGAGGCGGAATCATTTCTCGAAGTTCCGGGCTTTTGGCCGGGTTGATGTTGATACCTTTGTCTGACCGGGCTTTTGCCACGGGCAATCCGGTAATACTTGAAGATAGCCTGAGGGTAAGAGTTACCCTGAGGACGACCTAGCTCAAGCTTGTGAGATGAAGGTCGAGTTCCCGCTGGCCTTGATGATATTTTAAAGGCGAGCGGAATTATCAGATAATTGTTTGTCAGTTCCGTAGTGCCTGGTAATGTTTGCTTAAGGGTCGGTTGAGCCTTTAAGCGTTTTTTGCGTGTTTTCCAATTTGGAATTGCACGACTAAGTTGGCTCAACAGCCTTTTAAAGATGATGATTAATTTAATTATTACGGGCATTTCTAGGAATGGCCGATTATTGTGGGAAGAGATGGTACAGACGACCATGTCTGTTATATTTGATAATTCATGGCGAATGGACGCAGGCCATTTAGGGCGCCATATTATTGAAGTGCCTTCAAAAAGGGACTTATTTGTATGTGAAAATTTTTCAAAATTATTGATGAGTGGGGTACGGTATGATTGCATAAGCCACTCTGATTGGGCGGTAATTTGAGCAGGATTTATGAAGGGTGGGATGGCAACCCTTTTATCATTTGGGTTGGCATCCCCTTCCCCATCTGCCAATGTGTGAAGAAATGTTGGGACTATTAGAGTCGCAACCGTGTGGCAGAGAAGTATATATGCCTTTATCAAGAATGTTAACAAATAACAAAAATATGCGGCTAATCCTATGGATGGTAAGCGGCATTGATTGTTAGACGGGCTGGAACATTGTACGGTCCAGGCTGAGAGAAATTTCTCTCTAACTAATAGAAAGAGTTTTAAAACTTCGGTAGTAAGCGGTCTATGTTCTGAGACCAGTTTTGAGACGAAGGGTGAAGCTTCCGCTTTCCCGAGTATAAGACTGATAGATTGGAGTGTATTGATGTTGAAAAGCCTTGAATTGTCAAATGACCTCGGGCTAGTCAATCGCTGATGACTTTTGCGCGAGGCCATATTTTGCTCTTGGTTGGGTGAGTTTATTGTGTTAAACTCAGCCTTTTCGTGATTAGTATTTTGGTTTGACTCGTAAATCCCTTCTTGGATAAGGGTAGATTGAGGTGGATGGATAACAATTGGATCCATGCACTTTGAGTCTTGAGTGTTGAGGGAGACAGGTCGGCCAACAGTGAGGGCAGCGTGTGGCTTTTGATTGGTTGGAGTAACCATATTGGAGGTTACTGTAGCCATCGTTGATGCCTGACTGGGAGGTGCTAGACACTTCGAGCCAGTTGGCTTATTCTTCCCTGAGGCAAGTATGTGAGAGAGGGCAGGCACCTCCGTTATTGATGAGAGAGTGGCTGAGACTGTAGTTGCCCTCTTGGATTCTAGGCCCTTGCGAACTGGGATCGAAGGGCGTAGATGCTCTAGAATGGATTGAGCTATATAGCTATTGTGTTCTGATAGCTCTAAGACTGGTTGAGAAGAGAAATCTTCAACGAGTCTTGAGGTTGAGGCAGGCGCGGTCTTTTTGGTTTTACGACAAGCGCCTGGCTCCTGGCCTTTATTCTGATTGGCCTTAGAAGAAAATGGTTGATTTGGTTGTTTGACCGCTTGAGGGGTCAATTGTTTGGTCGTAATTAAATGGTTGGCGGGACTCGATTCAAGAGTCGCGCTTGGTTGTGAATGATTTTCTTGGTTGTTGCTTGTCTTACCATGGATGCTCAAGGAGGCTTTCATGCATACGAGCAAGTGGTGGCTCCCTTGGCAGTGCATACATGGTATAAGAGAAGGGCATCCCAGAGCCACATGACCTTCCCTTAGGCAACGTAAGCAGCGGTTTTGCTCCTCTAGACGGCATTTGCGGTCTTGAGGTGTGGAATATTCCGGGCATTTCGAAGGTGAATGGCCGGGATTTCCACACAGCGAGCAACTGCGCGACCCTCTGGTCGGACAGTTGGTTTTCTGTATTTGATGTGAGTGTGCCCTGAAGGTATCAATTGGTTCATGATTTTCCTTGGGGGCTGCGTCACTCAGCTTTATTGGTGGTGTAGGCATTGATATATCTTGTGTGACCTGGTGTAATGTAGTGCATCGTTGAACCTCTTCTTGTATTTCAACGAGCTCGCGCAACTCTCCACGGAGTTGGGCGCAGTTCCAACGTAGTCCTGAACTACGTTCTTTTTCAATTAGCTTGCCGAGAATTGACTCGGGAAGTCTTGACTTGATAACTGTGGAGATAAATGGGGACGTATCAACGTGCCCAAAAGCTTCGAGTTGACGACAGATTGTTTCTATTGTATCCACGAATGTTCGGAGAGACTTAGGGCTCTCATTGGTTTGTTGTAGATTCATCAGCTCGGCTTCTAAAGCCTCGGTGATGGCACGAGTATCTCCATACCGTGACTGAAGCAGATCGAGAACTTGATCGTAGTTCTCGTTGGATAGGATAAAGCCTGCGACTAAGTCTTTTGCAGGTCCTTTTAGGAAGGTGAGCAAATAGCTCATCTTGCTAATCTTGCTCAGTGAACTTTGATGGATGTTGGCAGAGAATAATTGCCAAAAGGTTGGCCACTTCTTTGGATCACCGCTGAAGGGGTCCAAACGAAGTTCGGGCAACCGAATGTATGATTGCTGATTGATCTGTTGAATGATTTGTTGATTGAGTTGTTGATTTATTTGTTGATGTGCGGGAACATATTTGTGCTGTTCCGGCTTTTGGTTTGACAAGGTCTGATCAGAACATGGGGTCTGATCACTGCTCGAGGCAATAGTAGATGGCTCGAGGAGAGTGTTGATTTGGTTGAGTGCCCTTCGGGCTTGCTCAGCAATTTCCATAAAATGTTTTGGTCTGGGTTGTTGTCCTTCCTCGGGTGGTAATGGAGGGAATTCTCGGTAAATTCGCTCCTCGATCGCAAGGGCTTGTCCCTCGAGACGATCAATGAGACTAGTCCATTTCTCGTTGAGTGCGTTTACCCGATCCAGGGTACGACTGAGATGGTGGGACATAGCTCTTAGTTGTGCAATGTCTCGACCGGAGCCGGCTCTCAACAAAGCATTGGCTGCGGCGAGATGTTGCTTGAGGACCTTTATGGCCGGTCCTAATTGACTGGTGATTGGTTTGGAGGAAGGCATTTTGATAAGCTATGGGATCAAAATGGCTTTTTGTAGACCAAATACGGAAAAGTAAAACCGCTTGTAAGTTTAACAAGGAGTTTATTAAATTGAAGTGGATGTTTTCTGTTGATGATTGATTGGTGAAAAGAGACTGATACGGTAAGGCAGTGTCTATAGAAGGAAAAAATGCGATGTCCCCTCAGGGAAATGTAATCGCTTTTTTAAATGTAGTTTGGCCGGCTTGGGCCGAAAAGAATGAGTTATTGAACTTGTACTGCGCTTTGATCTTTCCAAAGGGCAGGACGAAAGAAGGAAAAGCGATGTTCCAAAAGGAATGTGCAATCGCTTTTTGTAAAAAATGCTTTTGGCCGGCTTGGGCCGAAAAGATGAGTTAATGAACGTTCTCTGCGCTTTGGTCGTTCCAAAGGGCAGGAAGAGAGAAGAAAAGAAGTTGGCCCTAAAACTTGCGCAATCGCTTTGTTTAGGGCTGGCTGGCTAGGAAAAAGTTGATGTGTTGATTGGAATGTGCAGTCAAAGGCAAAGTTGACTGCAGATGTTGTTATTGCCACTTAGGGGGCAAAACTAGTGACTGCCAGGCACGGGCAGAAAACACTAATGAATGTGTATATGGGCAACAAAAAGTTGGCCAAAGTACACTGAAGTCAAGTAAAAAAGTTGGCTATTGAAAATGTGTTTGGTGGGTGAACGGTTAAAAAAGAGTGATGGCCCAACTAGGGGCAGAAGATCACCTTAATGTGATTGAAATAGGTTTGGCAGGCTATAGGCCAAAGAAAAGTGACGGCCCGGCGCGGGGCGGCAAATCACTTGAAATGTGTGTTAAGGCCCTGCTCGGGGCGGTGGTGTAAGCGCAAACGCTTTGATGAAGGTGAGGATCGATGGCTCGGCACGGGGCGGAGGTATCACAACCAAAAATGGCGCGGCCAAGGTAAGGCGGCGAAATGTAGGACGCGGCCTCAAAAGGCGGCGGAATGTATGGCGATGTCCCAAACGGGAGGTGCAATCGCCTGGTTTCGTGTCCTTGTTTGTCACCTTTAAGACAAAACAATTGCGGCCAGGTAGGCGGCAGACACTATTAAAGGTTTCGTGCCCTCGTTTGTCGCCTTTAAGACAAACGATTGCGGCCAGGTAAGGCGGCAGGCACTGATGAGTTGGTTGTGATAGCCCGGTGCGGATCACCTGACTAAAGCTGAAGTGATGACCCGGAACGGGCGGCAATCACTTTTTTATTGTTGATGTAAAGAGGGCAACAGATAAGTTGGCCTCTACTGGTTATGACGGGTGCAGTGCGATTGGACTGCGGGACCCGTACGGGGCTCCAATTTTAATGTGCGGAAAATGTAGTGTGCACAATTCCTCGTTAGTTCTGTAGAGGAGGGACAGGAATATCTCGGGCTCACGCGAGTTTATTCCTTATATGAAAGGGTCGACGGAGATATTTAATCTCCAGAAGACAAATCCACCAAACACAATTAAACACAAATAAAATTATTTATTTAATATAAAATAATATAAATAAGGGTGATTAATAGAGAGAGAAAATAGATAGGTGATCAAGTGGGTTGGTGATCAAATGGAATGGTCGGGGATGACTGCCAACTAGTCAGACCCGACTGAAGAGAAAAGACTATTTGTGCGCGAGCGGGCACAAATAGATCAAAGAGAAGATTGCTTGGCCAAAAACTACTTTTTCTCCCTTATTGTTGATTTCTTTATTTAAAAAATAATTTTTAATTTTATTTTAAGCACTTAAAAGGAATAAGGTCTCCGCTTTTACGAAGTCTCACGTTTACTTTTTTATTACTATATCTTATTAGGCAAATAGCATTATCAAATTAAAACAGTCGAAACCATCTCATAAAATAATAGAAGATTGGATGGGAATTGCTGCTGAGAGCTCTACAATGAAACTGATTAACTATCCCACCGCCTACTGATCATTTTCATTATTACTCATTTGTTAGTATTCGAGGAAACTTCGCCGGCTTACAGCATTTATGTTTGATATATACATACATTTTAAAGATTACACAAATCGTCAAGTTTTTATTTGACGTTTACTCCCAAAGAAAATTTCAACGATGGATAACAGATCTCAGAGGATTGTCTATTTGTCTTGATAAAATGAGAATATTAATTACCGCATTTTCTCGAATAATTTCCCTCCATCGAATAATTCCCCATGCCACGGATGGGTTGAAAAAATAATTCCCCGGGAGAATTAATCGAGAAAATACGGTATATTATTTGATTTAATTAAAAGTATGTTCCACAAAACTTAGTTGATATTTAGAGTTACCTTCTATCAAAAATTCTGACAATTTGTTATTTTTATCAATTATCAATTTATTTATAATTTGATAATGTTCATCTTTTATCCAAACGTCAAAACTTTTTTTAAGTTCTGCAATTTCCGATTTAATTTTGCCTTGTTCTTCAATCGGCATCTCTTTAATTTCGTGGTTTTCAGTGTTAAATTTAGTTTCATTCGCTATATCACTCCATTTTTTGATCCAATCAATAGTAATCTCATTGGGTTCTCTTTTTGTCTTAATAAAATGAGAATATTAATTACCTATATTAGTTGATTTAATTAAAAGTACCCACACAGGGATCGAATACAATATCTTTTATTAAGTATATTTATAACATTCGGACAACAATTTTACGTTTATTACCTAAATTTTACGCTCACTATCTAGCATCTAGCTGACATCGGGAGTCGGGATCGGGATATCCGAACATCACTAGCAAGCGATGTTCGGGTATCCCGATCCCGACTCCCGAGGTCACTTCCCGACCTGACTCACGATTCCCGAGTTTTTTCTTCTCCCGAACATCACTAACATATACCGATTTCGAAATTGGGAACTAGGGCATTCCCGATTTTTGAGTCGGAAATTGAGACTAGATCTCTGCTGGATGCTTTAATTAAGAATAACTGATCTATTCAAAACTTTATATTCATTAACGAACTAATATTTATATTAAAAACAAATTATTTTTCTGTAAAACAAAGATTAAACAGTTAAGATCACTGTGTTTTTATTTTTGACATTCTACAGTTGCGGCCTTTTACTTAGGGAAATTTACTTCTCAACTTTTATAAGACTTACTCAAAAAAATCTACTTTTGACCTTTATTTTTGTGTATTTTTGTAGCCCTATTTAATAGAGATGTCAGAGACCGAAATTTTTCCAAGACTCAAGACCCAAGACAAAATTTTTTCCAAGACCAAGACTCAAGACCAAGACCAAAACTCCAAGACTCAAGACCAAAAATAATACAAAACTCGAGACAATTTTTAGGTCCCATAGGTCAAATTTTTGGTTTATTTTTTGTTATTTTGACACGATCACAGTCAACTTCAGTACAATCACCTATAATTTCGAAAAATCTATGCGAAATTCAAAGAATTTATCCGAAATACAAAGAATTTATCCGAAATTCAAAGAATTTTGAGGAATTTATCCGGGTGGAAAATCAAAATGAGTTATATTATTTCAGAGGATTTGGGTGGATCAATGGGATATTAGCAGGCAAAAATTTCGAAAGTGTTGGAAGGCCAAGAAGCCAGAATTTTTCCTTTTCTAGCGCCGCAGGCGAAAATTTTGGAAATTATTAAGGCCAAGAAGCCAAAAATCTTCCTTTTCCTGCGCCGCAGGCGAAAATTTTGTGAATTTTAGAAGGCGGTAGGCCAAAAAAATTCACTTTTTCAGGGCCGCAGGCGAAAATTTTGAGGATTTTGGAAGGCCAAGCACTAGATCCAAAGAGGCCAAAAAACCAAGACCAAAAAATAAAACCAAGACAAGACCAAGACAAACACCCCAAGACCAAGACCAAGACCGAAAAAAAACCAAGTCTTGGTTCCAAGACCAAGACCAAGAGTCTCGGACAGCTCTACTATTTAATATCTTTAAAATGGTTATAAACTTATTTACTTTAAGTTTATTGTTTTTCTTCCCTTCGATAAATAATTTCAACTTATATATTTTGCAAACCAATTCTGTAATATCAATTTCAATATTTTCTTTGTTGATATAGAAAAGCTTTTCATAACTTAATTTAAAAAATATTTTCTGCGCTTCGAAAACGTCCAACATGTTTTTTCTATTATTTTTTATTTTCCAATCCTTTTTTACACTAATCGAGCCACATGCCCATCTGAACCAAGCAAGATAATCAACTATAATCTTGTTTGTCTTTTGGTTAATTACATCCTTCGATGATTGGAAATATACTATATAGTATTTTATTATCTTCTCATCTTCTAGAAAATCTAAATTGGCAAAATAAAATTAAAACTGTTTTAATATTTTTTTATTGAGTTTAAATAGTATTTCATTATTTTATATCATTATTTTTTAAATTATTTGTGTTATAATTAGGGATGGGATTTATATGGATTTCCATATTTTTTTCCTGGCCTAGTTGGGTCATGAAACGCACGAAAAACGTTATTTTAGCATATGGTGATACGGTCGTTTTTGAGTTATCAGTCCATATTTCGTCATTTTTCGTAAAATTTTGCCAAAAATTGGTCAAAATTTTGAAAATTTTGGAATTTTTTTGTCAGAAATAAAAAAAATTTTTTTGAAAAAAATAAAAAAACGTTTTTTGTAAAAATTTTTCTAAAAAATTTTCTGATCAACTATTATAAAATTATTTCCCCTGGAAACACTTTAAATGTACCTTTAATGGACAAAAAGCCTTTAGAAAACACTTTAAATGAACAAAATCAAATTATTTATCTGTGAAAATTCATTTTTCCGTTAAAAATTTTCATTTTTCGGTCCATATTTGATCCATATTTTGGATTTTAGTCCATATTTCAGTCCATATTTTGAGATTTTTAGTCCATATAAATCCCATCCCTAGTTATAATTTATATGGATTATTAATCAAAAAAGATGGACTATAAACTTAAATTAATGACACAACTATAAATAAAAGTGTAAATATCATTACTTTCCATTTTGAATAATCCATTCTTATCCAAAATTTTATAGAGATCAGTTTGATAATCTAGCAATAGCATAAATAAACAAAATGTCGAGCCATCTTTCTTCTTAAATTTATTTATTATATTTTGATCGTTTAATTTTGGTTTCAAGAATTCCATATTTTCTTCAGCCAGAAATTTTCTCATTTTTACATATGGTTCTATACTATCATTTAATGTAAAATTTTCAATTTCTGAATCGACCTCCTCGATTATTTTTTCTGTTTCCCCTTCATTAACATAATTTTTATATAGAGCTTCCTTTTCTTTCAAAAGCTTTGCAATAACAAATAAAAATTGAGCTACACGATCTGTTTCAAATTTTTCGTATATAACTGATTTTATTCTAAGAAACAAATCTTCTAATTCCTTCGAATCTAGATTTTTCTCAATTTTATCAACCCTTCTAGAAAACATTCCAATATATATAAGCCTTTCTTCATTAGTTACATTGCTGTAATTATGTATCTCTTCTGGTTCATTCAAATTAAATATCTTTTCATAATGTTTCCATTGAGTTGTTTTATTCAATATGGCTTAAATTTTGAGTTCTGATTAATTAGTGATCAGACAAATGACAAAATCAAATATTTGATCAAATTATTTGAGAATATTTGAAAAATGTGATCATTTAAAATCTGATAAACAAATATTTGAATTTTCGAAGACAAACATTTGTCTAACCCAATCTCTTGTATTAATTTAATTTAATCATCGAACATTTATTTAACAACAAAAAATAACTGTTAAAATTTAAATAAATTTTCTTACCTTGTTGCAACTGATCGTGCATTACTTTTAAAAACTTTTTCTTAATTTTTTCAAAATTTTTTTGTCCTATCAAATTTATTACTTTGTTTTTTGTTCCCTTTGTTCCATAAATAAAAATTTGTAAATCTTCTTGAAAACTAACTATAAACTGTAAATGTACTGAATTAATCGTAGCTTTAAATTCTTCATTTTTTAACCATTTTTTGAGTATCTCAATAATTTGTTTTTCATTTTCACACAAAATTTGATTTTCAAAATTTTTCTTCTGAAATATTTAAAAATTAATTAAAAAACTACGTTTTTAGATTAATGATATACTTACATAATTAAACTTGTTTATAAGATCATTCCAATAATTATTTTTTGTAAGTTCTTCATTTTTCGCCCAATAATCTACTAAATTATAAATTTTACAAAATTTCTTTACTGGAGACAAATCTTCATTTTTAAAAAGCTCTTTTAATAATTTTAAGGCATCTTCATGCGATTCTTTAAATGCATCGCCAAATTCATCATTCCACCCAAAATTTTCATTTTCTATTTTCTTTAATTTATCTTCTTTTCCCTCATTCTTCATCATTCCAGTCATTAATTGAATAAAAATTATTTCTTCATTATCGTCATTTTCCGCAAATCTCCCAGCAACATCTTCAAGTAAAAGTTGAAAATACTTATTAAATGATCCAATTGTCAGTTCTAGAAAAATTTCATCATCCATTCCCTCATGATCATTTTCAAAGTATTTTTTATACATTTCTAATAGTTCCCCCTTTTCTTTTTCCACAAATTTTTTATATTCCTCGGTTTTGAGGAAATCTCTCGTTGCTGCAATTAATCCGACGAAATAATAAATTAATATAAAAAAGGTAAAAAAATTCATGATTGTCTATGTCTTGAAATAATTAAATTAAATTTATTTGAATGCAGTTGAAATAAGAAATTTAAAATTTGGATTGTTAGATTATAGATAGATTATAATTTTCAGCATTATAGCTAAAACGGTAGATTTTCATGTGATCAAGAGGCTCATAACCTACTTAATAGCTTGAGAAATTTAATATTCATATCAAAAAAATTTTACATTTGCTCTTGAGAAATTTTACATCTATACAGGGGAGTACATAATTGTTTGGATGATTCATGAGAAGTAGGTAAGCTTTACTAGTCAAAATTCCTTGTCTATTATTAGGATGAAGGGAGATTCATTCAACGGGATAGCAGTAAAACTATGTGAGTTTAAAATCTATTAAAAGTGAAAGCCCGGATCAACTCCATAATAATCACTATGGCACATGATTGAAATAGGCGAAGTTTGTATATATATCAGAAACCTCTATAGTCGCAGGATCAATGCTTACCCGCGGCGAAACTTTTACTTATCCCTTACTAATTACCAGATTTTTATTCGCAAACATAAGATATTTTTTAACCATGAGATAGGTATTTGTTTTAATATTTTTTACTATATTTCTTCGAGAATAATTAATAATTACAATAGTTCGCTTATTCCACTTTACTAAACTTTCTCTCTATTAAACTGTAGAGAGATTTTTATGAATTTATTTATTTAATGAATTTATTTAAAATATAAAGCATATAAAAATTATTAAAAATTAAAAAATTTTAAAATGAGCATTTCCCAATTTACATTTCTCAATTTAAAGGCAAGCATTATTAAAGTCAGGCATATGATTTTCGTCTATTGCGAGGGAAATATGACAATTTTATTAAGCTTTTATAAAATAGGCTACAATTTTCTACGACACATCTTGTATAAAATAATACCCATTTACCACTAAACTCTTTAAACGGAAATTCTTCTCCACATTTTTTTTCAAAATTATACCAACGTGAGCTTTCGTCTTTTTTGTTTGCTTGTTTTGTAAAAATTTTTCAACTTGTTATGAAATAACCATAATTTGTTAACGAAACGATTTGGAATTAAAGTTTGGCTGACCATGCCCCTTTTTTTCCTGTCCATTTTGAACTTTTTTGCTTTTCATTCGAAAGAACTCTGAGCTGGGCAGAATGATACTAAAATCGGCTATATTTGATGATTCTAAACAAAATTAAGAAGCAAAATTCTCGTTGGAAAAGCTTTTTGCGTTGCTGCAAGGGCTTAAAATGAACGGTTATAACTTTGTTAATTTAAATCGGATTACGTTGATTTCATTTTCAACCGATTCAGCTTGAAGAGCTCTTTTGAATGACATATAATTTACCATAAACTGAGGAAAAAATTCTAAAAAAATAGAACGGGAAAAAGGGGATGCTCAGCCAAACTACCTATTATCGGAATTAATACATAATATCCAGGTAAACCCTTTTGACTCTAATAGAAATATCATTTACTTTTAGCAAATATGTATTTTTATAAAAACAATGAGATTTTAATTATTTTAGATTTATTTCCCTATTAAATAATCATTTTTTCTCCGATTTTAATTAACTAAAAATCATTTTTTATTATCTTCACCACCAACATATTTAGTACATATTCGAAATAAACAAAGAACAATTGAAACAAGAAAAAGAATTCCTAAATATTTAGTTAATCTTAATTGAAAAAATTATTTTTCCACTCTTACCCAGTAATGCTGTAATTAAAAATTGTAAGCTATTAACAGCAATGCCAATTTTAACTCCAATAAGACACTAAAAATATTTAAAGTTTTTATTTATAATTTAAGTAAATATTTTTAAGTAAATGAATAAATTTGAAATCTCTTTTGTTTAATTTATAAATTAGAATAAGGATTTTAATTAGGGTTGCCAAGGTGGATTCGAACCGAAGGATCCAGTCGGGTTAGGAGTTTTGGCCCGAAAGTGACTCGTACAAGCCCGACTCGATAAAAACAAGCCCGAAAAAATGCCTTGACCGTCGGCCCGAATCGAAAACGGCAGCCCTAATTCTGATGTCAAATAATTAAACAACCAATCTTAATTATTCCTATGAATTTTGTTTTGATTTTAAAATAATAATTTTATTTTGTGAAGAATTCTCGAAGTTATTATTAATTTTATAGAATTTTTAGGGTTAAAAATCAGTTCATTAAATAGCCCCACTAATTATTTAACACCTTTATAATTAATTTAATTACCTCTCTAAAATTATATTCATTCATATGTGAATAAATATAACTAATCCTTCGAGAATCGTGTTCTCCTAAAAGACAAAAGGCTCTATACATTTGTTCCTCATCTGCTTTTGGATTAATTAATTGCCGTCCTCTTTCATTATTTTGTTTGTATGTTCCAATTAATTGCCAATTTCTTTTTTTTAATTTTTAATTAAATATTTAAATAAATTTACATTAAAGAAATTGTTCCTCCAACAAAAGTTAAAACAATGGAAATTAATGAAAGAATTAAATGAGTAATATAATGATCAACAAAATTAGTTTTTGAGGTAATTAATCCAATTAATGAATTTAAAATGAAAATTATTGAAGTCCAAATAGCCGAATAATAGGGACAAAATTCTTTTGTTTTACAAACGCAAACAATGCCAAGTGAAAGAAGAATTGCTTAAAATTAATTTTAATTTTTTAAATTTAATTTTAAAAATATTAAATGATAAATGAATTTAATTTAAAATTTACTTGAAAATAATAATTCGCATAAACTTAATTTAAATATAGCCCAATTCCTTTCATTATTAAATTTATTACGAATAGCCTCTCCTGCTTTTACAGCCTTAATTGATGCATTTCTGCCTAATTGTCGCCAACCTTCTCTTCTATAATTATTTTTAAGAGAATTAATTCTTGATATTAAAAATACCTATTATTATCATTAATTAAATAATTAGGTGTTGAATATTCATTTTCTAAAAAGGGGGCAGATGGTGGAGGTGGGGGAGGTGAATTTGGAGGGCGCCGAATTGATTTCGTTATGGGTGAAGAGATTGGAGTTGGGGTATAGCCATCAATGTAGGATTGACAAGGACTTGGGTTATTCTAAAAATATTCTAAAAATATACTAATCTTCTTTAAAAAGCAAGTTTGGTGATTTATTAGGATATTTAAGAATAAATAGAGACTATTTTAGAATTTTAGTTACTACTATGTCTGTCTCAAAAACAAACTTGATTAATATTAATTTCTAGAGATGGAGCTGAAGGTGCAGCATTATATCCTAGACCATTGAAAACTCTTTGTTGTTTGTTATCACAATTACAATTGGGCATAATTTAATTTTTATTAAAAATATTTTATAATATTTTTTGAGTAGACTTAAATTTAAATTAAAATAAATAGTCGGTCTCAGTTTTAAACAGATTTTGATTTTGAAGAAATCGTATTTAAAAGTTCGGGGTATTTATTTAAAACCGAGATCAGACCGTGATTGTTATCAAACGATTGCATTAATTTAATAAAATAATATAAAATAATTTTTTTATAAAATTAAATTTTGGGGAAGGAGTGAGGGATAGCAGTAACAACTAAGGTTAGCGGATAGTTGAAAATCTTCGGATATCCGGATCCAGATCCGGCATACGAACCGGAAATTTCCGGATATCCGGATCCGCCAACCTTAGTAACAATAATAGTTTTAATTAAATTATAGAAATAAATAGATAGTTCCATTAAATTTTAGGTAATACTAATTTAGGTAAATAGACTTATTTATCTAAAGTATTTATATGTATAATCATTAATTCGGGGATAATATTTTTAGAAGTAAAATAAAAAAATTCTTATGGCATTTTACTAAAATAAAATTATTTTGGGAAAGGAAATTTAAACCTAAACAAACAAATTTTTTACATTTATTGTAAATGGAAGTCTAGAAATATATGAGAAAGAATGGGTACATAGAATAAAGAAGAAATGAGGGCCTAAAAATTATGAAAAAAATAAAAATAATTCAGAATTAATTAATGTCAATACAAAATATAATAATTTAAAGTTTTACTCAAATTTATTTTAAAAAATTATAAGTGAACAAGTCTTAAACTTAAAAAAATTTTTTTAAGTATTTAATTATTTAAATATTTATTTGCTCTTTTACTAAAAAAATATTTTTGTTTAAACAAATAAAAGAGGAAAAGCTGATTGCGAAATAATTACAAGTTAAGTATAATTTTTATATTTTTTGTTTAGAAAAAGTTTTACAAAACATAAAGCTAGGTAAGTAGTTATTTTTGGATAAGTGATCAGAAAGAGTTTAAAAATAGGTTAATTGGTTAGTTTAATATTTTAAAAATGGTTAAGTTTAAAAATTAATTTAATTTTTTAGATCGTTTAAAAATCATTGTTAAATTCGTTCAAGGAAATTACATACTGTATTTACTCGATTAATTCCTCTCCCTCGAATAATTCCTCATGCCAGAGATGAGTTGAAAAAATAATTCCCCTCTCCTTCGAATACTTCCCCATGCCACGGATGGGTTGAAAAATTAATTCTCCAGGGGAATTAATCGAATAAATACGGTATTTACAAAAATACTAAAACCTCCGGATTTGCTAAAGCAAACTAGGTAATTTAATTGAGTGTAAAATTATATGAAAATTTCTAAATAATTTTACAAATTTATAATAACCTTTTGAAGAAATTAATTTAAAACATAAACAATTAATTCTTTATATGTAATCTACTAATTGATTATATGTATATTTAATTAAATAATTAAAGGTAACACTAAATTGATTGTTTCTCTTTATCGCAAATAAAAAATTAAAAAAAAATTTTTATTTAAAAATATTTAAATAAAAATAATATTTAAAAGTTTAAAATAAAAAAATTGATTAAATGGATCATTTATTGATTTGTTTCTTTAAAGCTATTTAACTCGGGTGATTTGGCTAATAGAAATAGTAAAAGCTGTTTGATTCATAAATAAATAAAATAAATATTAAAGGAAAAACAAATTTATATTTTAAAAATTAATAATTTTAAAAACTTTAAAAACAAAATAGTAAATATTTAATAGAATCGTAATGTTATGTTTGAAAGTTATCTAACACCAACTAGAGACAACGGCGATGTTGTTCCAAATAAGGAACAACATCTAACATCGGTACCGTACCGGCACCCGTAGTCTTAAAAGTACTTATTCGGTACTTTCGCTAGTCATCTAGAACACTAGTTCCAGTGGCTATGAGAATTGCTACAATGACAATAACAGGAATTGCTACAATAACAGGGATGTTTCTAAAGTTATCCTAACACTGAAGAAAGTTGTTCCAAGAATGGAGAAGATTGCCCTGAGAGGTGGAACAACTTTTATAACAAATAGATAAATAACTATGTATTCTTGATCTGAGTGAATAAGTATTTTAGTGAAATTCTTTCGGGATGCCTGGTATCGTCTGATGCACCTCGACGAGCTGTATTGAAACATACCAGATCGTCCATGCTTCGATAATTTTGAACGAGTTATTGGCCTCGCGGTACTTCGCCTGCTTCCATATCTGCTAAGCTTAGATTTTTTTATATTATTCTTTAATTTATTTTATATTATATCAAAATATTTTTGTTATTTTCAATGTTAATACATAACACAATTTGCCGTACCAATCACGAACCATTAAGTAATAAACCTGTATTTTATTGAACCTCTAAGTAATAAACCTATATTTTATTTATTTTATGATCCAAAAACAATTTTAGCTCAAGAATTATTTGTAAATCTGTTTGTTTATCAAAGTTAATAATAATTTAACTCAACGTGGGACGATAAAACAAGAAAAACAATCTTATTTCTGATAAACATATAGAGTATTTTGTAAGACTAAAAATTATAAAATTTTGTTGAGTATAGCATAAGTATAAACAAATAAAAGTTTTTTTAGCTAATAAAAATATTTTTATTTTATATTGAAAAACAAGTTGTTGATATAAAGTTTGTTTTGAAATTTGAAAATATTTATTGTCGTTGGTGGATTTTATAATCAAAAATAAAAATTAAACAAATAGTAAAGGTTAGGTATTTTATTTTTTACAAATGCTTTAAAAAGATTAAATTTTCTTAAAATTTAGCAGTTTATTATTTTTTCAGCTAATTTACAGCTATATTTACTAATATTTACAGAAACCCTATATGCCGATACATTATATATTTGGATTTGGTTACTTCCAAATTGTCCGGCTCGGGATCAGTTTTTTCTTTCAAACTGGCCGAGGTCGGATTATCCAAACTAGCCCGGGTCGGGTTATCCAGATCAAACTCCGACAACCAGATTTTATCAAAATACATGGCTTTTAGTCTCTCGAAAATTCTATATGTATATGAATTACTCCCTTATCAGGAATCCAGCAAAAAATTCTATATTGGACGTGTTTGCATATGTGGGAGTAATAAAAAATGTTTAAAATCTCGCTAACAAACCTTATTTTACTACAAATTTCGTATTTTCCCGAATTTTATAGAAATCTTTAAACAATGTTCAACAAATTTAATGCAAAATTTCTAATGATTATGCTCATTGTGATTGTTAAAATGATAATCATTAATGAAGCATGTATTGGTAATGGGCAAGATTGCGATCCAGATGCCGAAAATAAAAGAGATTGTTGTGGAGATAACTATTATTGTTTTAAGCTCAAATGCACAAAATGTATAGATAGTGGAAATGGATGTGGAAAAGACAAACCCCCGTGTTGTTCACAATTTTGCATGCCAGGAGGAAAATGTAGTTGAGAAAATATGATTGAGAAACTGAATTCGAGAAAATAAACAATTTAAAAAATTGATTCAAATCAAAAAAAAATTTAAAGAAAAATTTAATTCATTTCAAAAATTCACACTGTTTTGAATAAATCTTTAAGAGGCAAAGTTAAATTAAATGAAATAGATTCTTTTCGGTTGTACCGGTCTGCAACTTTTAACTGTCACTTTCAACAGTCTTGTTGCCAATAACTTTGAGCCTTTTTATTAGAGTTTGACCCCGACCCCGTTCCCCGTTCCCCGTCCCCGCTCCCGAACGATTTTTTCAGACTTCTCCCCGCCCCGTTCCCCGCCCCGAAACAATTCGAAAACCCCGTTCCCCGACCCGAAAATTTTCGGGGTTGTCGGGGGTAAGACCCTTATAAAATGCCATTTTTTAGAGGAATTTAAAGAGAAAAATTTAGAAAATTTCCTCCCAATTTACTTTGTGCTTATTATTTATAAAGGAAAAATGAATGTAATAACAAAATTCTCTTCTTTTTTTTCAAAGAAACGGTGGTTGAGTGGTTTAGTGTTAGATTTAGCTAGTTGTCTATGGAGTCACATAAGGAGATCTGTTTTATTTTATTTTTATTTAAAAAATAAATTATAACAAGTGTTCAATTTTATTTTTAAATATTATCTAACATAAAAACAAGCCAAATATTTTAGTTTAGTTCTGGAAATAAAAAAATTTTCGCCTGCGGCGCTATAGAGAAGAAATCAGGCTTTATGATCTAACAAAATTCTCAAAATTTTCGCCTGATCTAAAATTAATTCAACTAATTATATTTTATCTCAGTTGGATAGCTAAGATTAGAGGGTGATCGGTGGACTGGAATCAGAGGTATCAAGGGATTTGTATGAAATCAGAGGATTAAGAGGATTTGAAGGACTAATAGGCGTAAATAAAGTGGGTTTGAATGAATCACGAGTATTTGAGGATATCGAACGGGAGATTAGGAGCGACATTGAGATATTAATCCTCAGATATACTCTGATATTCGAACAAATCCCTTGATCTCCCTTCATTCCCTTCAAATCCTTAATCCGTCAATATTCTTCTAAATAACTGATATTCCATGAACTGCCCTTAAATATTCGAACCTCTTATATCACCAGATATATCAGTTTACTTTTCAAATATTCAATAATCCGTCCGAATTTATTTATCTTACCAGGTATACACTTTAAATCAATTAAAACCATTCAATCCCACCTTATTTCATTAATTTTTGAATAAATTAACGAAAATAGACAGAAAATGACTTATTTTTAGAGCATTTTTTGTTTAAAATTTTTTTCTTTAAACCCCCGTTCCCCGTCCCCGTCCCCGAGCTAATTTTGCTCCCCGACCCCGCACCCCGCCCCGAAGCAATTCGAAAACCCCGTACCCCGACATAGCCGCCCCCGAGCCTTCGGGGTCAAACCCTACTTTTTATTTAAATTTCTAAAAAGAATTAATATTTTTAAAGACGATTAATAGAACTTCAAAAAATTCATTTATAAAATAAAAAAATAAGATTTTTGGTATCTTGTAGCAAATTTCATGGGCTTTCAGACATTTCAAGGACTTTCAGGCAAATTTCAAGGGCTTTTTTTGAAGTTGCTTACCCCTGTTTTACGTTGATTTTCAGGGTATCGAGATTTCGACACTGAAATTAGATATGGGCCTAATTCTTTTTTTATTTTCTATAATACCGATAGACAAATTTACTGAATTTTTTGTAGAATTTTACAATACGTAGAAACTAAATTTTTACTGGGGTGCTTATACTTTCTTAACATTTTAACTTCAAGAAAATTCAATTTTAAAATTTTTAAATCAATAAAAATTTCTGAAACTTTATTTTTAGTTATGTTTTGGATCCCTGCTAATGTAGGAAAAAATAAAACAAATGATATTTTAAGGATCATGTATTTTTTTACAAAAATTTGGGGGTGCTTATACTTTTTTAACGCAGTGTAATACCTATTCATTTAAATAATTAATCTACAAAACTTTCCGACAATAAAAATTTCGACAATAGATTATAAAAAATGTACTTATTTGTTAGGTTAAAAGGACTAACAAATACATAAGTGATATAAGAGTATAAGTTAAACTCCTCTCAACCTCTATGAAGGGATAAAACGCAGGTCATAACTTTATCGAATTAAACAATAAAAAAGGGATATATAATACATATTATCGTCGAGACAAATTAAAATAATTAATTAATTGGAGTTAATTTTAAATTTAAATTATTATTATTTTGCATAAATTTTATGTTATTCGAACTTTTGACAGTTGTAACCTTTGCTGTTTTGTTGGCGGATTTTATTTTGAATGCTGACATAAATGCAGTTTTATATTCTTGACTGAAAATAAATATAAATTAATTTTGTCAAATATTTTTCCAAGCCCACTAAAAATTCTTTAAATATTTTAAGGAGTAATTTATATTAAAATATCATCATTTATAGGACATGTAAATAGGATTGTCGGATATCAGAAGATTTTCTAAGAACCACCAACCCTACATTTCAATATTAAAACTTACTTAAATGTGAACAATATAGGAGCATTTGTGGACATAACAAAATTAGTCAGACAACTCAAACCATGAATTATTAATGCTCTTTGTGTAACATTAAAGTTAAGATGAGGAATTGTTAACCGTATAATGCTATTCATTGACAACCCAATTAAATTTAAAAAAAGAATGATTGATAATGTTTTTAAAATTCTGCGGGTCCACTCATATGGTGAAGCTGAAAATTTAAGTTTATTTTAATTAATCTCTTAGAGACGTTCAGGTCTTTTAGTCAATTGTTTAGACTCAGACTTATGTTGAGGTTTTTTTAAAATGTCTAGTAAAATATTTCAAAAAATATTAACAATCCTTTTGAGGAATTGTGGACTTTGGGCCCCATAAACAGAAAGAAACATTGAACAATTTTTACCTAAATTTTGATTAGTACTTTTCCAAGAATGCCATTTTAGAACAATCCAAATAATTATATAGTTGGCCAATGTAAGTCCATAGAATGAAACAAATATTACATAAATTAAATCTCCAGCCCATGCCCAAGAACATTCGTGGGGGACACAGATTACTTGACTTAAATTTGGATATTTAAAGATAATAAAATATATGTATATAATTACGTAGATTCCGGAACAGTATAAACAACTTGATATTGCGCATAAATAATTATTGATGGACTTACTAATGTTGAAATAAACATTGGTATTAAATAATATTTTTTTGCAATTTCTCGCAGGCTATACCTTTAAATTAATTTGATAACTTGATAACTTAAATATTTTTGTCCCATGCTAATAACTCAAGGAAAGAAATAGGCCACTCTTGGTTTTTCTCTCACACTGGCCACTAAACCTTGATTAACAGATCTGTTATCTAAACTTGCCGTTACTAGGGCGGTCTTTACTCTCTACTACTGGTAATGGTTGAGATATTCCCGTGCCTTCGCCCCCCCCCCCCCCCCCCAAGGGAACGGGGAGAAAAGGAATAGGGTTAGTAGAAATAACAAACCATAATGGAAATAAAACACTAATAAGCCTATCCAATGAAATTAAAAACATAGCGGTAAAAGAAGCAGTAAATCCGAATTGGAAAGGGGGAAGAATTTGTAGACAACAGGGGCGTATTGGAATAAATTGATGACCTGGGCCAAACAAAACTGTGATGGAAAGAAAACTAGCTAATTGATACCAAGCAGAGACTAGACAATCAAATGCTATCAGTAAATGGCATGGAGAATTGAGTGCTCTTTAAAAAATTTTAATAATATTTTTGAGAAAATTGAGAATATTGAATTGAAATAATCTGGTAGTAATATTCTCATTTTTATATAATTGCTAATGATATTTACTCGATTAAATAGCCTGTGTAATTATTATTTAAATCTTACTATGGAGGGGGTAACCAAAAGGGAAGGAGTAATTATTTGAGAGATGACAAATAATTGAGTAAATTATCGGCGAATTTTTGTAGGGTTTCTCTGATTTATTTAGATTCCCTTTTAGATATTTTATAATATACCTAAGTTTTAAATTTTATAAACAAAAAATTAAACTAAGCTAACTTGGTCTTTGCAGTGACAAAAACCAAAGAAATATTGAACAAAATGCCAATTCCCGAAATTATTGTTCTTAAAACATTTAATGTAACCAATTCTACAGGAAGTCCTGCTTCCCCATAAATATCAAACAACTTCAAAATTAAAAAGAAATTAATATTTACAAATTAATAAAATAAACTAACCGTTTGTTGTTGTTGTACACTCATTCTCAACACTTTTATTCAGTTTTTAATTATTTAAATAAATTTTATTTTTAAATTATTTTTATCAAAGACGATTCTATTTTTATATTTTTTAATTAATATTTATTTAATTTTACACCTAAATGGTTGTCAATTTATAATTATTTGCTACAAAAATTAATTAAAACATCTAATCGTCTTATTAAAATTTTTATTTTATTTTAAAAAAAATATTGTATTTAGCTTTTTTACGTATCTTGTGAATTTTTTTGAATTTTTGAATAAAATATTTAATTATTTTATATAACTGAAACAAATTAATTAAAACTAAATTTTTCTAATTTTTTTATAATTTGTATTAATTTTAAATTAAATTCTCAGAAAAAGAAAAGATTTCCAGATGTTTGTAGTTTCTTTATTTAAATTTTTATTTCATTCTAAAAGGATATTGTATCAATGTTGGGAATTTTTTAAGAATTTTTTAAAAATAAAATATAAATCAAAGTTTATTTGGAGAAAAAAAAATTAAATAAGAAATAATATTTAATTATCTAAATTTAGATATCTAAATGGGTACACAAATAAAAAGAAATCTATCACGCAAATAATAAATGTAAATTAAATACCATTTATTAATTCACCAATCTTTTTAGTCGAGAAAAAGTAACCTAAACATCTGCTCTTATATTTAGAGAGAACCAAAGGTGTACTGAAACTAAATTTCTTAATTAAACCCCGAAAAGTAAGATTAAAAATCTTAAAAAGCGGAAGTTGCACCAAAGATTAATTTACTACAAAGTGCAATATAATAATGTTGAGAGACTGGAACTAGTCTCTGGAACTAGTCCAGTCTAGTTCCAGGAACTAGTCCAGTCTCTGGAACTAGTCCCACGAACTAGTCTCTGGAACTAGTTCCAGTTCCAGAACTAGGTTTTTAATTTTAGTAGTTCTAGTTCCAGTTCCGGAACTCCATTTTTTTAATTCCTTAGTTCCAATACCAGTTCTGGAACTAGTTCCAAGCTAGCTCTAGTTCCAAATTTTTAAATTTTTTTTGAATATGAAAAGATTTATCAATTTTAACAAATAAAGGAATACTTTAAAAAATCATTTAGTGTGCAGCAAAATCGCATTCACAGGATCCCGTAGCGGGGTTTTGAGTAATATCGAAGGATTTAAGGAGATTGGAGGATAAACTAGACGATTAAGAGGCGTAAAAATTTATTTTCTCAGCGCCGCAGGCGAAAATTTTGAGAATTTTGAAAGACCAATTCACCAGATTTCTTCCATTTTTAGTGCGCTGCAGTAATTTACAACAATATTAAAAATCCCGTAAACTTCGTCGAAGAAATTTTATCAAAATTATACCCACAAGAATAATTTTTCCCCCCAAGAAAGAACTAGTTCCAGAACTAGTTCCTAGTGATGTTCGAGACTCTCGACTCTCGAGTCGAGAAATTTCTCGGGTTTTTTGGGCTCTCGGTCTCGGTGTTTTAGTCTCGGAAAACGAGACTAAATTTACACCCCTAATGACGGAAATTTTTGATCATCTAAACTTCAAAAATTTTTTGGCTGTGGTTCTTACAATTGAATTTTTCCTACTAAGGCCTTCCAAATTTTTCAAAATTTTCGCCTGCGGCGCAAAAAATGGAAAAAATCTGACATAAGGACCTTCAAAATTCTCAAAATTTTCGCCTGCGGCGCAAAAAAAGATTTTATGGAAGAAGGGGGTTTCGAGCCGGGTTTTGAAAAATTCACAGGTCGGGGGTTCGGATGAAAAATACTGGGAATCTTATTAATTTTTAATTTAATAAGATTAAAAAGATTAAGAGGGATACTGGGGATTCTCAAGGATTAAATTTAATATCAATGGACTTGTGCGTGGCATCGAGGGATCAAGGAGATATCGTCGGATTTGGGAGGGATATTGAGGTATATGAGGGGATTTTAAGAGATTAATGTGAATATCAGTGGATAAATATTGTGGGTATATATTATGAGGGATATAAATGGATTTTTGGGGATTAGGAGGGACATCAAGTGATATCCCTCTTAATCTCTCGGTCTCGACTCTCGGTCTCGACTCTCGGTTTAGTCTCGGTCTCGGGGTTGATTCTCGGTCTCGGGTCTCGGTCTCGACTCTCGGCTTTTTTTGACTCTCGAACATCACTACTAGTTCCAAGCTAGTTCCAGGCATTTACTAGTTCCGTAGTTCTAGTTCCAAACTAGTTCCAGATAATCATTAGTTCTAGTTCTGGAACCGGAACTAGAACTAATTAGTTCCGAAACTGGAACTGGAACTTTGACATCACTATTCATGAGACGACATTTTTGGGGCAGTTTTGAGAGTACTATCTGACATTTATTCTATGAAAAATTTTTATGTTTTCTGAACCAAAATTAGTGCTAAATATGATTATGAACGAATTCTGTTGTAATAATCAATGTTTAAACCCAATAATTGAAATTATAAAAATTCCGAGAACTTTTTACTCACCATGTACACATCATTCCTCAATTTCGTTAAATGGTTAATGATATTTTGTGGATATAGAATGATTTGAAGAAAAAACTGTGTGTATAGAGAAAATTAAAAAATTTTGATGAAATAAAAATATTTTCATTTCGTCTCGTATTTAATGTTAAAATTCTATGGTTTAGAATCCACTAAAGATTCATTTATTATTTATGCTTTTCCTGATAAATTATTTTAGGTGTTTATATTATATTTATATTTATTTTATTTATATTTATATGTATATTTATATTATAATTATATTATATTTATATATTATTTATATTTTATAAAATATTCATCTAAAATATTTTTATTACCTATATAATTTTTAAACCCCGTCAGCTTTGTACTTTTTAATGATATTTTTAACTAGGATTTTCAAAACAGAAATTTTTTTAAATTAATTGTTAAAATTTTTTTATCAAATTTATTTACAATAAAAATTATTAATAAAAGTAAAGTAATTAATTAATTAATAGGAGCTAATTTTAAATTTGTATTATTAATTTGCATTAATTTTATGTTATTCAGACTATTGACAGGGCTAACTTTTGTTGTTTTGACATTAGCTTTAAATTTGAATGTAGACAAAAATGCACTTTTGTATTCTTGACTGAAATTTAAAATAAAAAATAAATTTTTAAAAATAAATATTACTTAAATGTAAACAATATAGGGGCATTTGAGGACATAACCAAGCAAGTTATACAGCTTAACCCGTGGATTGTTATTGTTTTTTGTGTAAGATTAAAATTTAGACGAGGAACAATTATTCTCGTAGTGTAATTCATTGATAATCCAATTATATTTAATAAAAGAATTATTGATAAAGTTTTTAATATTCGGCGTGTCCAGTCATGTGATGGAGCTGAAAAATTAATTTAAATTATTCGACAAAGAAAATTTTAATTAATTCAAAATTTCTATTAAAATATAACTATTTCCGTTCTAATTCTTTATAAAGGAAGTTGAATTTTAGTTAAAATAATTTAATAAAACATCTGTAAATATTTATTTTTAGACGATTAATTTTAAATTTTTGAGTTGAGAATAGTAAGAAAAAATTTGAATATATACTTAGTATATACGTGAATTAAATATAAGTATTCCAAAAATGGAGAAAAAATAGTTTAGGGGAAGGAAAAATAAATTTAAACAATTTTTACCTAAATTTTGATTAATACTTTTCCAAGAATGCCATTTTAGAACAATCCAAATAATTATATAGTTGGCCAAAGTAAGTACATAGAACGAAACGAATATTGCATAAATTAAATCTCCAGCCCATCCCCAAGAACATTCATGTGAGACACAAATTACTTGACTTAAATTTGGATAGTTAAAGAATATTGAATTATGTATATGCATATAAAATTAACAAAGTCGGTGTTTAACAAAGTTTCTGGCCCGAACGGGAATCTGAGACTTTTGAAAGTAAATTGGTTGGAAAAATCCGTGGGGAATTATTGACTTTTCCCTGGGAGTCTCTTCCCACCAAATAGGAACTTGGAACTTTTCAGCCCCTTGCCCGGCAGGCCAAAATAAATTTCTAGTCGTCCGACAGGCTTTCCAAAGGCAACTCAAATTGAATATCTCAGATTATTGCAATCCTCACCCGCATAAATATCGTATATTATCACTAGTTAATAATATAAATATATTTACGTAGATTCCGGAACAGTATAAACAACTTGATATTGCGCATAAGTAATTATTGCTGGACATATCAATGTTGAAATAAGCATTGGAAGCAAATAATATCTCTTTTTAATTTCTCTTTGGCTATACCTTTAAATAGAGGAATTAAGTATTTAAAAGATTATTTTATACAAACCAGAATGGAAATACAATACTCATTAGTCGATCTAAAGATATTAAATACATAGCTGAAATTGATGCTATAAATCCAAATTGGAAAGGAGGAAGGATTTGTAGACAACAGGGGCGTATTGGAATAAATTGATGTCCAGGGCCAAACAAAACGGTGATGGAAACAAAACTAGCTAATTGATACCAAGCAGAGACTAGACAATCAAAAGCTATCAGTAAATGGCATGGAGCATTGAGTGCTCTAAAACAAAATTGTTAAAGAATTTTTAACATATTTATTTATTTTTTAATAATTTTATAATAATTCAATCTGCATATTTATTATACACTCAAATTTACAAATTGGAAAAAATTAAATTGAATAATTTGGCTCGAGTATTTAATGCTTAATTATTTCAATTTCCTTTTGTGGGAGGGGGGTGGGACTTTTTGGTACATTTCTGAATCATAAATTCAGATTTATTTTTAAAAAAATAGCTAAACAAACTTGGTCCTTGCAGTAACAAAAACCAAAGAAGAATTAAACAAAATGCCGATTATCGAAATTATTGTTCTTAAAACATTTAAAGTAACCAATTCTATAGGAAGTCCTGCTTCCCCATAAATATCAAACAACTTAAAATTAAATTTTTGTTTTTAAATTTTAAAAATGGTCTTTATTAGAATTTTTGTTTAATAAAAAATATGTAAATATTCAATAGTTCAAAATTTTCAAATTGCCGGCCCGGTGTCCGGGATTTTCCCTTAACTTGAAATTTTCTTATTTTAAATAGAAAATTATCGAGAATTAAACAAATAGCCGGCTTTTTTTCTTTTTTTAAAAAATTCGGGTCGGTATCAAACTTTAAAATAAATATTTAATTCCATCTTGTTAACCCCTACACAATCCCTACATATCCCCCCCCCAATTATTAGAATACTATAAAACAACAACAAACCGTTTGTTGCTTTTGTTGTTGTTGATCACTCATTTTATTTAATTTTTTTTTGAAAGTATTTTATTTAAAATTAAGATAATAATTTTATTAAAATTTATTTAATTAAAATAATTTTTAAGCAAAAATTTCTTTCATTTTATACCAAATAATTTTGGAAAAATTTTCAGAAAATTAGCAGGTGATATATTTTATTTGTATCGTTTCTGTTTTATTTTTACATTTTAATGAATTATTTAATCATTTTGGAGTATTCCGTGAATTAATTACTTCAATTAATTAAAGTTTATTTGAAAGAAAAATTATTTTTAAAATTTTTTTATAAGATTTTATTAAGGATCTCACGCAATTGTAAAAATAAAAGTTACTTTTATTTTATAAAAATTGGTACTTTATTTCCTTGTACTTAAAATAAAAATTCTTAAATTGTGTTTATTTATAGAGTAAATTTCTGCAAAAAGAATTTTAAATATTAATTTTAAAAATTTAAGTTATTTTGTAAAAGGAATTTTTAATTTTAAAAATTAAAGACTAATCAGACGATTAATAAAATATGTAAGTTTATACAGAATAAATAAAAAATAAATATAAATTAAAAATATATACATAAATAAAATATTTATAATGAAAAATATCTGGTGGCTTAATTACAGTTTATTAGTTCATTGGAAGAATTACGAATAATAATTCTTTCTAATAATTTAATTCTTTCTAATAATTCTAATAATTAATAATAATAATTCTAAATGTACTGATTCTTTTTTTACAAATAAATATTTTAATTGAACTAATGAACTATAATTGAAGGGCCATAAATTTATCTTTTAAAATCGAAAATATTTAATTTTCATTTTTTAAAACAATTTCTTCAAAATTTTCAAATTCCAAATTGTCAGTATCAATCGAACAATACCCTTTCCAGTTTTGAAATATACTTTCAATGAATGAGTGACAGTCTTTTGAAACATTTGGTAAATTGTTCTTGCATTTTTCATAAAGATAGTTCTTGATAACTTCTTTTGTTGATTTATAAAAACTTAAAAATATTTTTTTCAATAATTTTTTAAAAATTTTGGAAGTAAAAATTAATTTTAAGTAAATAATTACTTTATATCCAAAGTATTATTTTTAACAATTTTAGCAAGTTTTTGAGCATATTTTTGTAGTAATTGGTTGTCTATGAATGCTTTAATGTTAACACCTCCATCTTCATTAAATGCCTCAAGAAATCGTTGGGAAAGACAATACCCAACAAATTGATGTCCAGAATTCTTAAAAATATTTTTAATTTCTTTAACATCTTCTTTATCTCCCAAAATATTCTCAAAAATCTTCTCCCAATTTTGTAAAAGAAATTTCATCTTTTCCTCGAGTATGTCGGCAAAATTATTTTGGTATAATTCATTTTTAAGCGATTTATTCTTTCCCATATATTTTTTAATATCCACAAGTTTTTTTCCAAATTTTTTAGTTTTTGCTGTTATATCATCCAAATTTTCAAAAAATTTATTGACAGCAACTTCATGTTGATTAAGAAGAGGAATTGATTGAGGATTTGTGTGACTTTTATTGGATTGTTGTCCTTTGTTTATTGAAAATGATTGTTGGTGTGTTGCATCACCGTGAGGCTTTTTACGGCGAATAACATCAACAAAGTTTATGTATTGAGTGTTTAGATCAGTAATTACTTTCTTGAAATTTTCATATTCTTTTGGTTTGTGTTGATAATTGAATCTTAAATTTATGAAAAAAAAATAATTTTCATTCTAACACCATTTTTATTAATGGCGAGATTGGATTGGTGATAGTTAAAGTTATTAAAAAATATGTGTTTAAAATTTGCTTCAGAAAAATAAATTTTATATTTAATTATTTTTATTTCCAAATAGAGTTGTACCCCGACCCCGTACCCCGAACCCCGACCCCGTTCCCGAACGATTTTTTCACGATTCCCCCCGACCCGAACCCCGCCCCGAAACAATTCGAAAACCCCGTACCCCGACCCGAAAAGTTTCGGGGTTATCGGGGTTTTATACACCCAAAAAATGTCGTTTTTGGGAGAATTTTAAGAGAAAAATTTTAAAAATTTCCTCTGAATTTACTTTGCCTTTATTATTTTTGAAAGAAAAATGAATGAAATATCAAAATTTTCTTTTACTATTTATTAAGAGACTTGTGGTTGAGTGGGTTAGATGTTGGTTTTAGCCTATATTTTATTAATATAGGATTGGGTTCGGATCCATATAAGGATAACTCTTTTGTTTTTATATTTCTTTACAAAAACATATTATTAACGAGTGAAATTTTAATTTTAAAATATTAATTTTATTTTTAACTGATATCCCTCGAACGACCTTAATCCTTCAAACCACCAGTAAGGGGTTCCCAAACATAACAGCTGGAAAACTATCGAGGTCCTGCTAACTGGAATCAGAGATATAAAGGGATTTGTAGGATATCAAAGAATTAAGGAGGTAAAGGGATTTAAATGGATATAATGTGTAGATTACAATGGATTTGAAAGTATTATGTGAATTTAGCGGATATATGTAGATGAATTAACAATATTTCGTGGGAGATTTAAGGATTAATCCGAGATATTTCCTGATATCCGTCCAAATACCCTTATCCGCAATACTTCAATATCCTTATGAATCACTGATATCCCTTGAACCAACAAAAATCACTCCAGATCACCTTGCATCCCTAGATATACCATTTAATCCCTAAAAATCCCATTTAATCCCTCCAGATCCACTTATATCCCAAGTTATACACTCTAATCCCTTCAAATACCCACTAATTTCTCCAAATCCTACTTAATTTTTGAATAAATTAGCGAAAATATACCAAGATCTGATTATTTTTGAGCATTTTTTTTTCTAAAAATTTTTTCCTGAAAACCCCGTACCCCGACCCGAACCCCGGCCATATTTTGCTCCCCCGACCCGAACCCCGCCCCGAAACAATTGGAAAACCCCGTACCCCGATATACCCGCCCCCGAACGTTCGGGGTACAACCCTATTTCCAAATAACCTTCTTAAATAGACGCTCTACTATTAAAAACATAAATTTAATAATATGTAGGATTTTGAGTATTTTTTCGGACTTCATTCTTCGAGACTTTTTCAGGCCAAAATTCTATGCACGACTCGATCTTTCAGACCGGATCGAGCCCCCAACCCTAATTAATAATAAACAAGTATCTAAAACACATTTCAAATAAAAATTAATTATTTTACGTGTAATCTAGCGATTTACGATACAAATCATTTTGCCATTCAACAATAAATTTGCATTTTTCAACAACATTTTTACTTAAATCTTTTACAAATTCATAAATTTCATTTTTCTCTCCATCACTAAAATAGCTATTCTCTTCACGATTTAGACATTTAATATTAAAAATATTCCAATTATTTCCTTGGTGCTTTTTGTATTTTGAAACTATTAAGCTAAAAGCAAATAATGTTTGGCGACATTTTTCTAAAGATTTTTGGATATTAAATTGATGTTGATCTTCAATATTTGATTGTTTGATATCTTTATTTTTTAACTGAAAGTTTTGGTTAATTAATTAAAATTTAATAAAAAAAAATAATTTTAATTGAAAGTTTCTGAAGTGATATGTAAAGAATTTTAGAAAATACATAAATCAGTTATTGAAGCAAAAATTAATTATTTTATATTATAAATTAGTTTACTTTTTTAATTACAACTTTCCTTCCACTAAATATACAATTACTATTTAGTTCTTCAAGATTTTTTGAAATAAAATTGAGGACATAATGAGCCTCTGTAAATGTCATTTTATGTTGAGAATGAACTTGCACTTTGAGGGAAAAAATATTTTATTAAAATATTTTTATTAAAAAATTTATTTTATAAAAGTTTTATTTTCAATATATTTTGGCTGTTTCCAAAATAAAAAGTTGTGTTGAACTTTATAAGTTTATATTTTTTTGTTGGCATTTTTAATTAAAGTTAATTTAGGATAAATCTAATAATCATTTAAATGGTTATTCATTTTGGATAGAAAAATCCTTTATTACCCAAACAAAAAATTAGACCTGTTAAAAAATTTTTATTCATAAAAATTGCAACAAATATTGGCCATTTTTACAGTTAAAAACGGCCATTTTTATTTGCGTTAGAAATTCAAAATTTAATGACTAAAAATATTTTTTCCAGAAAAAATAGAATGCTCGAGATAAGCTTCCCAAAATTATAACTAAACATTTTTGATCATTTAACTTTTTCAACACTTTAATTTAAACAGAATTTATATTTAAAATTAAATTTTTCAACAACATTTTTACTTAAATCTTTTACAAATTCATAAATTTCATTTTTCTCTCCATCACTAAAATAGCTATTCTCTTAAATGTATTTTAAAAATACATTTTTTGTAATAGAGTCGTGCAAACGGGAATGCTGCTGCTGGCTCTGGTCTTCATTTGGTAGATCTTTTTTGAAAAATTAAAGAAAATTTGGTTTAAAAAATAAAATTAATTTTGTTAAAATTATATGCTTTTTAAAAGCTAAAAATTGTTTTTTTTGAAAAAATTATGTTCACGATTTTTTTTTAAATAAAATTTTGTTAAAGATAAATTAGTTGAAGTTGTTAAAATAAAATATTTGTATTTTGTAGTTATAAAATAATGGAGTTTAAAAAAATAAAGCAATTGTATTTTTAAAAATATTAATAATTGTATTTTTTTAAAAAATTAGATCATTTTTTATTAATTATTTTAATTAAAATGGTTGTATTTTTTTATAATAAAATTATTGTATTTTTAAAAATAATTGTATTTTTTAAAAATAAAATCATTGTATTTGTTTAAATTAAAACTGTATTTTGAAAAAAAAATAATCGGATTTTGTAAAATGAAATAATGGATTTTAAAAAATAAAGTAATTGTATTTTTAAAAATAATTGTATTTGCTAAAAAGAATAATTGGATGTTTTAAAATAAGGTATATTTAAAAAAGTTGTATTTTTAAAAATATTAATAAATGTATTTTTGAAAAATAAAATCATTGTTTATTAATTATTTTAATTAAAATGGTTGCATTTTTTAAAATTAAGTAAAATAATTGCACTTTTAAAATTAGTTGTATTTTTCAAAATAATAATTTTATTTTTGAAAATAATTGTATTTTTAAATGTATTTTTAAAAATTAATTGTATTTTTTAAAATAATTATTTTATTTTTTAAATGTATTGTTAAATGTATTTTTAAAAAATTGTATTCTTAAATGTATTTTTAAAAATAATTGTATTTTTAAATGTATTTTTAAAAATTAATTGTATTTTTAAATGTATTTTTAAAAATTAATTGTATTTTTTAAAATAATTATTTTATTTTTTAAATGTATTGTTAAATGTATTTTTAAAAAATTGTATTCTTAAATGTATTTTTAAAAATAATTGTATTTTTAAATGTATTTTTAAAAATTAATTGTATTTTTTAAAATAATTATTTTATTTTTTAAATGTATTGTTAAATGTATTTTTAAAAAATTGTATTCTTAAATGTATTTTTAAAAATAATTGTATTTTTAAATGTATTTTTAAAAATTAATTGTATTTTTAAATGTATTTTTAAAAATTAATTGTATTTTTTAAAATAATTATTTTATTTTTTAAATGTATTGTTAAATGTATTTTTAAAAAATTGTATTCTTAAATGTATTTTTAAAAATAATTGTATTTTTAAATGTATTTTTAAAAATTAATTGTATTTTTAAATGTATTTTTAAAAATTAATTGTATTTTTTAAAATAATTATTTTATTTTTTAAATGTATTGTTAAATGTATTTTTAAAAATTGTATTCTTAAATGTATTTTTAAAAATAATTGTATTTTTAAATGTATTTTTAAAAATTAATTGTATTTTTAAATGTATTTTTAAAAATTAATTGTATTTTTTAAAATAATTATTTTATTTTTTAAATGTATTGTTAAATGTATTTTTAAAAAATTGTATTCTTAAATGTATTTTTAAAAATAATTGTATTTTTAAATGTATTTTTAAAAATTAATTGTATTTTTTAAAATAATTATTTTATTTTTTAAATGTATTGTTAAATGTATTTTTAAAAAATTGTATTCTTAAATGTATTTTTAAAAATAATTGTATTTTTAAATGTATTTTTAAAAATTAATTGTATTTTTAAATGTATTTTTAAAAATTAATTGTATTTTTTAAAATAATTATTTTATTTTTTAAATGTATTGTTAAATGTATTTTTAAAAAATTGTATTCTTAAATGTATTTTTAAAAATAATTGTATTTTTAAATGTATTTTTAAAAATTAATTGTATTTTTAAATGTATTTTTAAAAATTAATTGTATTTTTTAAAATAATTATTTTATTTTTTAAATGTATTGTTAAATGTATTTTTAAAAAATTGTATTCTTAAATGTATTTTTAAAAATAATTGTATTTTTAAATGTATTTTTAAAAATTAATTGTATTTTTAAATGTATTTTTAAAAATTAATTGTATTTTTTAAAATAATTATTTTATTTTTTAAATGTATTGTTAAATATATTTTTAAAAAATTGTATTCTTAAATGTATTTTTAAAAATAATTGTATTTTTAAATGTATTTTTAAAAATTAATTGTATTTTTTAAAATAATTATTTTATTTTTTAAATGTATTGTTAAATGTATTTTTAAAAAATTGTATTCTTAAATGTATTTTTAAAAATAATTGTATTTTTAAATGTATTTTTAAAAATTAATTGTATTTTTAAATGTATTTTTAAAAATTAATTGTATTTTTTAAAATAATTATTTTATTTTTTAAATGTATTGTTAAATGTATTTTTAAAAAATTGTATTCTTAAATGTATTTTTAAAAATAATTGTATTTTTAAATGTATTTTTAAAAATTAATTGTATTTTTAAATGTATTTTTAAAAATTAATTGTATTTTTTAAAATAATTATTTTATTTTTTAAATGTATTGTTAAATGTATTTTTAAAAAATTGTATTCTTAAATGTATTTTTAAAAATAATTGTATTTTTAAATGTATTTTTAAAAATTAATTGTATTTTTAAATGTATTTTTAAAAATTAATTGTATTTTTTAAAATAATTATTTTATTTTTTAAATGTATTGTTAAATGTATTTTTAAAAAATTGTATTCTTAAATGTATTTTTAAAAATAATTGTATTTTTAAATGTATTTTTAAAAATTAATTGTATTTTTAAATGTATTTTTAAAAATTAATTGTATTTTTTAAAATAATTATTTTATTTTTTAAATGTATTGTTAAATGTATTTTTAAAAAATTGTATTCTTAAATGTATTTTTAAAAATAATTGTATTTTTAAATGTATTTTTAAAAATTAATTGTATTTTTAAATGTATTTTTAAAAATTAATTGTATTTTTTAAAATAATTATTTTATTTTTTAAATGTATTGTTAAATGTATTTTTAAAAAATTGTATTCTTAAATGTATTTTTAAAAATAATTGTATTTTTAAATGTATTTTTAAAAATTAATTGTATTTTTTAAAATAATTATTTTATTTTTTAAATGTATTGTTAAATGTATTTTTAAAAAATTGTATTCTTAAATGTATTTTTAAAAATAATTGTATTTTTAAATGTATTTTTAAAAATTAATTGTATTTTTAAATGTATTTTTAAAAATTAATTGTATTTTTTAAAATAATTATTTTATTTTTTAAATGTATTGTTAAATGTATTTTTAAAAAATTGTATTCTTAAATGTATTTTTAAAAATAATTGTATTTTTAAATGTATTTTTAAAAATTAATTGTATTTTTTAAAATAATTATTTTATTTTTTAAATGTATTGTTAAATGTATTTTTAAAAAATTGTATTCTTAAATGTATTTTTAAAAATAATTGTATTTTTAAATGTATTTTTAAAAATTAATTGTATTTTTAAATGTATTTTTAAAAATTAATTGTATTTTTTAAAATAATTATTTTATTTTTTAAATGTATTGTTAAATGTATTTTTAAAAAATTGTATTCTTAAATGTATTTTTAAAAATAATTGTATTTTTAAATGTATTTTTAAAAATTAATTGTATTTTTAAATGTATTTTTAAAAATTAATTGTATTTTTTAAAATAATTATTTTATTTTTTAAATGTATTGTTAAATGTATTTTTAAAAAATTGTATTCTTAAATGTATTTTTAAAAATAATTGTATTTTTAAATGTATTTTTAAAAATTAATTGTATTTTTAAATGTATTTTTAAAAATTAATTGTATTTTTTAAAATAATTATTTTATTTTTTAAATGTATTGTTAAATGTATTTTTAAAAAATTGTATTCTTAAATGTATTTTTAAAAATAATTGTATTTTTAAATGTATTTTTAAAAATTAATTGTATTTTTTAAAATAATTATTTTATTTTTTAAATGTATTGTTAAATGTATTTTTAAAAAATTGTATTCTTAAATGTATTTTTAAAAATAATTGTATTTTTAAATGTATTTTTAAAAATTAATTGTATTTTTAAATGTATTTTTAAAAATTAATTGTATTTTTTAAAATAATTATTTTATTTTTTAAATGTATTGTTAAATGTATTTTTAAAAAATTGTATTCTTAAATGTATTTTTAAAAATAATTGTATTTTTAAATGTATTTTTAAAAATTAATTGTATTTTTAAATGTATTTTTAAAAATTAATTGTATTTTTTAAAATAATTATTTTATTTTTTAAATGTATTGTTAAATGTATTTTTAAAAAATTGTATTCTTAAATGTATTTTTAAAAATAATTGTATTTTTAAATGTATTTTTA